CACACACACACACGAATATTGATTTTATATAATTGTTTGTTTATACATTGCTCAACATGAAAACATTATCTATGCTCTCTCTCTTACAGCCTAGCTGGTTGCCCTGAAGCTTCAGTCAGCAATGTCTACCATGCTTCCCACAGTTGCCTTACGCAAGGTGCCTTAGGACTGGTGGTTTGTGATTGGTCAGGAGTGGGTCACATGACACACAAGTGTTTCAGCTGGCCAGGATTCCTGACAGGAGCAGGACTGTCCTGGAATTCTACAACACCCTGGGTGAGGAGACCTTTAGTGGACTGGAACTTATCTCTTTTTATGTACAGACACAGATGTGCTTGTACTGTACATATAGCCATCACCTGCGTCTGTTGTTGCCGTCGCCATGCATTTTCACCGATAACACGATAAGTGGAAAAACATTTTACCTTTTAATAATAAAGGTTTATTGTGTTCTTTGCAATATATAAGACATATATTGAATGTATATGAATAAAAGTATAAAGATGTAGTATTAAAATAGAGCTTTTAGATAAATTCTAAATTATAAAAACAATAATGAAGTTAAAAATGGTGATTTGTTGTTCTTTTCAAAAGCTAAAAGTTCATGGATAGACCTTGATCATTGACACGTATATAAACAGTATGGGATAAAAGTGTTCCTATATCTTTTTGTCTGACATTTTGGTAAAACATATCTATAAACATTCCTTAGGTTCTTTTCTATGACACGAGTGTTAGGTAAAAGATGGTTTAATCTATGTGTACACAGTTTTATCTCATTAAATAATTTTTTGCACAAGTCAGTACGCCGAGATTTCAAGGTAGGTAATTCAGTGATGTCCATTGCTTCGTTGTAAGTGAGTTCAGGGTATATAATATGAAGAGCTCTTTTTTTGGATGTTCTCTAAGGCTTTAGATTGCTGTGCGGTAATTCCAGCATGCCATAGCTGACAAGCGTACTCAAGTGTTGGTCTGAGATTGCTTTTATAAATTTGTAAGAGGTCATATCTCGGCACCCCAGCGTGTTTGACCATGCATAAGAAATACAGTCTGGATGCAGCTTTTGAGAGAATTTTTTCTATATGTAAGTCCCATTTCAAATTAGAACTGATATGAACTCCCAGCAGTTTGGCACGGAAACTAGTTCGATTTTTATACCATCAATTATTAGGTTATCAGGTACAGTTAGGTTTTTACTGAAACAGATAAACAGTTCAACAGTTTTTTAGGATTAATTAGCATGTTATTTTGTTTTGTCCATTCATATAGGTTTGAGGCTGGTGAACTGTCCCATAAACTGTAGTGTCATCCACATACTTTACTGCTGGTAAAAAACATTCCTTGTCATTTATCATTGTAATGAAAAGGAGAGGTCCTAATTTTGTACCCTGGGGCACGCCCCCATGAATATGGCACCATTGTGACATTACTGATCCACACTTGATCCGTTGTTGTCTATTAAGTAAAAAGGACCTTTTGTTTTCAAACTTATAGAACTGATGAGTATTAATAAAATACAGGTCATTAAATGGCCATTAAATGAGATTGATAATAATAAGTTTATTGAGCACTAAATGATATGAATACATTTGCAGGCTCACTAGATTACATTATTTACACAATATATAAGAATATACATTTATATATGTGTACATATATAGTATGCTAAATTGCATATGTTAATGCATGTTATGCTATAAGCTATTCACAGCACTATCAACAATTAGTGGTTGTGATCTACTAAATTGCAGGTAAACTGTGTATTTTAACAGCAGTCTTTACAAATTCTGCTATTACTTTGAGGCTTTTTTTCACAGGGTGGATTAAGGAGAATTGACAATACCTGACCACTGTCCTCTAGATCCACTACAATGTACATTGATTTTCAAGAGTTCAGCATGCATTCGTTACCTTTCAACAGTGTATCTTGTACATTCCATGAGGAAGTGTTTTTCATCCTCTAAGCATTTGCAAGCTTTACATGTTCTCTCATCAAGTGGAGTTTTAGGGTTTGTATATCAGCCCCTTTCTACTGCCAGGTCGTGGTCACTAAGTCTTATTTTTGCCAGTGTTTTGATATCTAAGGAAGAGACACTCATTTTGATGTATTTTTTGCATTCATAAGATTTTAAAAATTGTTTTGTATGTCCTTAATTTAATGAGACTACATAAAACACACATGCTGAGATTTCCCTGTAAACTCCCATCAATTAAGCTCTCTGCCAGATACAGTTTGTGCAAGTCTTAATTAACAGTGTCACATAATAAGGAATCAGTGATAATTATACAGGTAAATGTTGTTTAATATTGCAAATGAATTTTCAAAAGAAAAAACTATTTTGTGTAATGCCAACATTAATGCAGTAGATGTATAGCAGTGCTTTATTATCCTCAAACTTGGTGGGGTTATTCATATCATGTTAATACAGCTGGATTTTCAAGATGTGACTTTTAACTCCCATCTACATGTACCTGAAGCTCTGTACATTTTCTGTATTTTTTATTCTTGCAGGCATGCTCTGAATGCATCAGATGGGATATGCTAACATAACTTCTTAATGATTTCTGAACAAATAAAGCTAGCTTGTCAAGTGCACCCTTTTCAAATTTATGAAACTAAAAAATTGATTAGATAAGATAAGATAAGAGTTTATTTAGCCAGTTATAAAAATCGGAAATAATTTTCTTTTGGAGCAAGTTTGACAATATACAGAGTAAAATAATAGTTAATAGTTAGCTTAATAAGAAAAGAAAAAATGTGAACTAACAAAGCATTTAATTTTTACTACGGTAAAGTCTTGAAAATTTCGTCGGCAGACGATTTTCCGCCGATGTAATTTATTTCACTTTGAAAACTTCGTCGACCTTGAAAAATAGGTACTCGATAATTTTTGAAAAGTACGACACCTAATTTGGCCGCGTTGTCCAGCTCAAACATGAAGGTAATGCGTCAATTGATTCAGGACAATAATACAATCAGGATATTGTTGCTGATAACACTCTCAATGGGAGATAGGAACAATATGTACCAAACTTTACTCATCACTCATTACTATCATTTTCACTTCTGCTTATTCTGAGTATTTCATCATTTTAAGATGAAAAAAATTAGTTTTCATATAACACAGTTTTCCTTTTCTTCTATTTTAAACATTACAAAATGTTGTTCTATATTTTTTCACTCAGGATAAAATAGTTAAATATCATTATCGCCAAACTTTGGCATGAATTGATTATAAATAGGTTTATGAAATGTAATTCAGCCATAAAACTACTGCTATAGAAAATGAAATGCACCAGAAAACCAAACCACAATTTGTTCAGTTTCTGAGCATTCTAAAGCATGTCATTTTTCCAAGTATTGGAATACTTTCACCTTCCTTCTAAGGTCAGTCACTGCCAGATCTCCATCCTGGTTGATGGTACATCCCCATGGTCTATATAATCCATCAGCTTGGGTTGCTATGTACTGGATGAACTTTCCATCTGGGGATACAAGGTGTATGCAGTCGTTATCATAATCAGTGACCAGTATGTTGTCATATGCATCAACACAGACACCACGAATGTCACCTAACTTGTTATCAGGTCCTGTGTACTGATACAGTGGGTCACCAGATGGGGTTTGGATGTGAAGTTTGTTTGGTGATATATCACTGACAACAAGGCACCCATTGCTCATATATGCCACTTTATATGGTACATTGAACAATTGCTCCCCATCTTTGTTCTTTATCACATCAGTTAGAGTTATTTTCCCTTTGATATCAATACTGAACACACTCACAGACTTTTCTCCTCCAACCTGTGCCACAGCAATCTTAGTGCAGCTGTTATTGAGAGCCACACCACATGGATTGTTGACATCTACAGTTTGCTGTACTTCCCACTGTGGTGACAGGATGAACAGTTTGTTATTGTGTGTATCAGATAGAACCATCCTTCCATCAGGGAAGTGACAGATCCCTCTTGGATGTTTCAGCTGTGTGTCTGAGACACTGGTGATCTTCTTCATAAATGTACCATCTGAACTAAAAACCTTGACCTTATCATCTAAGAGATATGTAGTAACATACTCCCTGTTTGGACTCACTGAAATGTCCACTGTTGTTGTGCCAGTGTCAAACTCCAGCATACATACAGCCTGTGGTTTGATCTTGGGCAAAGCTGGTTGTCTAGATATCTGTACATTCCCCAGGCCAGCCCCACTGGATATGTCTTGGTCCACTTCTGTGTTGGTGGTAAATGTGAGATTTACTTCTTCAGGCACTTCTTCCACAGCTGAAGTGGACTGTAGCTCATCTAGTCTCTGTCCAAGTTGGTGTTGTAACATGAGGACATCTATGGGGGCACCATGCTGAAGGATGTTCTTTACTATTTCTGTTGTGGTCTTTATGGAGGAGCAAATGGCACTGCAGTTCTTGTGGGAAATTTGTAAATTATTTCTGTTAGTGCTAGTGGTTTGATGAAGCTCCTGTAGTAGGGTCTTCTCTCGTTGATCTACCAGTTGACGTAGGTGAGCTGCACGAGCTTTTATCTGCTGCTGAACAGAGCTTTCATTTTCTTGTAGGTTTGCCAATGTTTTATCAATTTTAGCTAACTTTCTTTCACCAGTTGCAAGTTTTCTCTGCATGCCAAGAGATTTGGTCTGAAGTTTTGGTTTAACCATCTCTGCAGCATTTTCAAGGGAGATAAGTTTGTGGCCATCATGGTGTAGATCTCTGCAGTCACGACAAATGGGACCATTGCAGTCTGAACAAAAGTATCTTATCCTCTCATCTTTGTGCACAGGGCAGAAAATCTTTTGCTGCGCTTGGATCTCTTTTTGGTACTCATTGCTCTGCATCTGTTGGAAAGTGAACACTTTATGATCTTTTGTGAACTTGGTACCACAGTGTAATGGAGAACACTTCTCACATAGGTAGTCATGGCAGGTGATACATTTTGAAGTAGCCACTGTTTCAGTGTTAAAAGACAAGGCACAAAAGCTACATTTTTGCATATGTGGTGACTGAAGTACAGTGTCCTGCAAGCTTTCAATGAAAAAATTGTGAGAGAAGCCCTCAAGTCCATCTTTAGGAACTTCAGTTTCTTTCTGACATGCATGACATTGGAATTTACTTCCTGGTGTTAAGTCAGGAATATAGTCCTTCAGACAACACTTACAAAATGTATGCCTACATGGTAAATCTGTCGGATCTTTGTACTCCTCAAGGCATAATGGACAGCTAACAAAATGTTCAGCTATTTTGACCTGTAGGCTTTCTTCAACATCTCTGCTTACATGAGCTGTAGCCATCTTGGGGGCGTGGAGTGAACTGTTCTACTGGTATGAAGAGCGGTTATCTTGTCTTATCAATAAACCAGTTGCAGGGAATGAACAATGAATCTATGTGTTGGACAGATTTATAATTGTTGTCTTATCAGTGACCCAGTTGGCATACTTTTAAGGCCACAACAGTATGTTTTATATTTCACTGTGTTTTATGATTCAAGCATATAATTAGGGTTTTGTGGGTTTTTAATTACCTAATATTTTTTTCAGTACTTTATATATTTAGAGGGAGAGTTAGAGTGTTATCAAATAAATACAACTTGTGATATGATAAAAATAAGCCTTTTTAGGACAAAAGATATTATTTTATGATATTTCTGATTTTATTTAATGAACAGGTTAAGGGCACTGTTTAAGAAGAGTGTGTTTGTATGTATGTGCTTGTGTGATTTGTACACGTTTTACGTCACATGCAGGAGAATAAGTATTATTTGTTATCTTTCTCTCTTAAGGTAAAAGTTAAATATATGTTTAAGTTATGTCTAGGCAGGTTTACAAGTCTTGGTTGTCCAATAATTTTCATGTTCAGACAATGTTTCTTCACTTTTTTAGCCTCAACATTTGTCTGTGGTCACTGCCGCTCACCTTTCACTGCGAATGGAATAAATGAAAATGAAACTTAGAGGCTTTATATTCTCGAACCAGTCGCATTGATTCATAGCACAGATTAAGTACAAATTGTATTTGAACATTTTTCTGGAAGTTATTTATTTATATGTATATA